TGGTATAGGGGGTGGGGACTGTCCCTAACTTTTTTTAAGAATACATTTTTGCTCCTTTTCCCGATAGCCTGTTTCATTTTATAAATTAATAACCCCAAATTCTCAACGACAAATAGAAAACAAGGATCTTTAAGAGCGTTGGAAATTTTAAGAACTTATATCTTTACATAGATTCATGTATGTAACTGGGCTTACAATCTGTACATAAAAAAAAATAAAATTTTGTCAGAGCGGTTATAAAAGCGTGACTCGAGACAAAAAATGTGTGATATTGTTTCAGAAATTTATCTGTAGATAACCAACCATGAATTTAAGATAAAAGTACCTTTCGGGAAACTAAGAGCATGCAACTACATTACCAGTGCTTAAACATGTGCACAACATACCACCTACAACTCTTTTCATACTCCGCATATAAGAAAGAATGGAAGTGTACAAAGATAATCCCTGCTTTTCTTAATTATAACATCTCAATGGCTCACTACCGGAATTCAAAATTACCGCCCCTAATGCAACTATTTCGCTAGGTGGCGCCGTGCATGGTAGTTCCGGTTTCGTTTTCAATTATAAATAAACAACGTGGTTTTGATGTTCCGTGACCGGGATTGAGTCTGTCGCATTTAAGGTATGTTATTAGTCCCCTACCGGTGAAACCGGAGGGGACTATAGGTTTTTTTGAACGGTCATTGAAGTATCACTTGTTGTGTATAAAAATCGTTCGTATGTTTTATAGCTAAAGACAAACTACGACCCTAAGTCGAAAAGAAAAACCCAATGTCACTGAAAAGTGTACAAGTGTTGAACTGTTGAAGTAACTGAAGTATGTGTTAATCCGATGATTCGTATACTAGGTCTATATGCTAATTCGTCACAAACTTCACTCCAAATTAAGTGATAATCATACTTATAAATCAAGATCAACTCTTTGTTTTTGCAGAATGAATGACTCTGATCGGTTTGACTCAGATAAGGAAGATAGCTGTCCTGAAGTTTCTGCTACTCTAAACTTTGATGAGCTTATGAAACGAAAGAAAAAAGATTTACAGCTATGGTTACAAAAAAGAAATATGAAAATTTCAGGATGTAAGTCTGTGCTGGTACATAGAATATTGAGAAGTATTAACTTTGATACCAGTGATGAGTCTTTGGAATCTGAAGATTCGTGTGATGAAGTCTCATACACTGTGCCAGACTTTGACAGTATTTCATGCTGGGAAAATGTTACGCTTGAAAATTGTGTAAATATACGCCATGAAGATGTACTGAATTATTTCATCTACACAAAAAATCCAGTCAGTGGAAAGACTAAAAACTGTCACAGACAACTAAAAAAAGCAAAAAAATTTTGCAATGAAAATTTCTTGGGAAATTTATTTGTCAGTAATAGTAATAGTCAGTTCTCTGCAATAAAGGCTCAGTGCAAACCCAGCATGAAGACATTTGCAGTAAATAAAGATGCATATTACTCCATCAAGCTGCTTTTATTTAAAGAAACAGCCTTTGTACACTCAGCAGTGTGTACCTGCAAAGCTGGATTGTCTGGGGTGTGCAGTCATGTTGGAGGCCTTCTATTTACCCTAGTGAAAATAAAAAATTCATGTACTTCTCAAGTATGTCAATGGCAGCGCCCTAGGAAAATAACCCACCCACCTTCTCCTAAGAAATTATCAGATTTACAGTTTACTAAGACAGATGGTGCTGATAAAGAAATACCCCAAAAACCATATCCAGGTATTTATCAGGCAGGCCCATGCAATGATCCTGATAAATTCTTAGCCGATGTTTTGGGTGGTCTGAAAACAGCTTGTCCATCTAGTGTACTTTATCAAACAATGTCTGATGCTGTGAACATTAATGACATCTTGAAACAGTATGAACCACAATTTATGTATATGGACCATGTCGATTTGAAATCAAATGTTTGTCAGTCAGTATTTATTGATCACACCAATTCTTTAAAACTAACTCACCAAGAAATAGATGATGTCTGTAAGGCAACTAAAGGACAGTCAAATAACAGAAACTGGATACTGGCAAGAACTTTTCTTTTAACAGCATCAAATTTTGCCCTAATTTGCAAGAAAAGAGATACTACACCACCAGAAAATCTCATCAAATTGTTACGTTCATACAGATTACCACCAGCAAGTGTACCAAGCTTGAAGCATGGACGGAAATACGAGACAAAGGCCCGAAGATGCTATGCGGAACAACATCATAAAACATGTGGTGGGAATGTTTCAGTGAAGGATGTTGGTCTTATTATTTCCTCTCAATTTCCCTTCCTAGGAGCTAGTGTGGATGGAATCATTTCATGTTCAAAATGCGGAGTAGGAATTTTAGAAATAAAATGTCCCTATGGAAAAGGAACAGACAAATGGAGAAATAAACAACCTAAAGACTGTTCTTTAAATAAAAATTTCTTTGCAGAGCTTAGTGATACTGGACAATTGAAATTAAAAAAAACACATAATTACTATTATCAAGTAATTGGACAGCTTGCCGTACTTGACTTTGAATGGGCAGATTTCACTATTTGGACAAAAAAAGGGCTGTCCATTGAAAGAATCAATTTTGATGCTGAATTCTGGGAGAAGGAAATGTTCTTTAAATTAAAATATTTCTACTCTCATTTCTTAACTGCAGAACTGTTTACAGAGAGAGTAAAACGTGGACTGAAACTGTATTAATGACATGTATGTCAATTAAGATTGACACAATAAAATTCAAACTCTTTAATGAAATGTGAAGTAGTGTAGCTGTGACATGACCATGTAATTAAAAGTCAAATGGAAAATAAATCATTAAAATTAGTATGAAGTCATACTGTAAACACAACAAGAGGCCCATGAGCCACAACGCTCACCTGAGTCAATATGGCCCTGCTGTTCTTCGTCAGCAGATTTCTTCTCCTATATTTCTCCTATATATTCATATATAAAGCTTTGATCGCCTGTTCTAGGCATACCCTACCCCAAGGTGCCATGTTCTGAATGAAATTGAATATAAACCTTCCGAGGATGCTTCTATCTTCATATAACTAATCATGATTTTGCTGTTCTTTAAAACAGAATTTTAGATATGTTTAACACCCTACCCTGCTTGGGGGGGGGGGGGGGGGTTCATGATTGCATGATTTGAACAAACTTGAATGTACACTACCTGAGGATGCTTCCATATCAATATGACTGATCATGGCTTTGTTGTTCTTGAGAATGAAGAAGATTTTTAAAGATATTTCCTGTATATGATCTTTTGTTAAACTTTGATCCCCCATTATGGCCCCACCCTACTGCTGGAGGATGCCTTGAACAAGCTTGAATCTACAATATTTGGGGATGATTCCATATCAATATGACTAATTATGGCTTTGTTGTTCTTGAGAAGATTTTTAAAGAATTTCCCTTTATATTCCTATGTAAAAATTTGATCCCCCATTGTAGCCCCACCCTACCCCTGGGGGTCATGATTTGAACAAACTTGAATCTACACAACCTGAGAATGATTCCATATCAATATGACCAATTGTGACTCTGTGGTTCTTGAGAAGAAGATTTTTTTTCTATATATTCCTATATAAAACTCTGATCCCTCATTGTGGCCCCACCCTACCCCCAGGGGTCATGATTTGAACAAACTTGAATCTACACTACCTGAGGATGATTCCATATCAATATGACTAATTGTGGCTTTGTTGTTCTTGAGAAGAAGATTTTTAAAGATTTTCCCTATATATTCCTATGTAAAACTTTGATCCCCCATTGTAGCCCCACCCTACCCCCGGGGGTCATGATTTGAACAAACTTGAATCTACATTATGTAATGAAGGTTTCACATAAGTGTAAACTTTTCTGGCTCAATGGTTCTTGAGAAGAAGATTTTTAAAAGATGACACCAAATTTTCACCAATTCTTAATTATCTCCCCTTGGAAGAGGGCGTGGCCCTTCATTTGAACAAACTTGAACCCCCTTCACCCAAGGATGCTTTGTGGCAAGTTTGGTTGAAATTGGCCCAGTGGTTCTGGAGAAGAAGTCGAAAATGTGAAAAGTTTACAGACGGACGGACAGACAGACGGACTACAGACAAAATGTGATCAGAAAAGCTCACTTGAGCTTTCAGCTCAGGTGAGCTAAAAAAGATGTGTCAAGGAATAACTGTTTATTTTTATTTTTTTATGATTTGATCAAATGGTTTGCTTACATGATTACTTCCATAAACAAGAAAAGGGCTTATTCATAAAATTATTATGAGCAAACTGTTTGATTATCAGCATCCAAAAAAAAGTTTTTCCTTAGGCCATCTTTAAAAAATTGTTTGGTTGCCCTCTCCCACCTGACTGGCTGAAAAAGGCCCGACTCAAAACTTTTTGTAACCTCCAGGAAGCAATTATTTTTTTTATGCATTCCGGAAAATATATTTTGAAAATTCAGGATTGATGTTGAAATTTTCTTAGAAAAAAAATTCCCCACCTACTTACCGACCCAAATTTTTCATCCTGGGTTGGGAGAGGGCAAGCAAACATTATTTTAAAGTTAGCCTTAAATATAATTACATTTTTACCTGATCCTTGATTCCCAAATTAAAATGAGATACATATACATATATGTAGGTTATTCAGTATTAAATTAGATATCTTAGACTGCAAGCCCAGCCAAGTTTATAACTGAGCCACACACGAGAAGGTGGTTCTGTAATGTGATGAGTATAAAGATGTTAACATTTCCTTATCTGGAGTTTTATCTTTTAATTGACAAAGACCTTTGAAAATGTAATTTAAAATATTCAGAAGTAAATTTATTAAATTCAACTTCCATTATCAAATAACAATCACATAAGTGTGTTTGATCTGCATGTCACCATGGTCACTGCAGAAGAATTTGGTACATTTTTTTTTTTTTTTTTTTTTTTTTTTTAACATAGGAATAAATGCACAGAAAATCTTTTGATGTGCTAATGTCACAATATACAATGCATTTGAACATATTGAATACTTATACAGGTATATATAAAAAAAAGTCTAATTATCTAAATGAACCAGAGGCCCATGGGATTTGGTAGTCACCTATCATTATTTCACACAGTTCTTATTAAAGTAAGGTTTGACATAAAAAACAAAATCAATGAAATATTTTTTTGTTTTTTTATCCATTTCCACACATTATTATATTTACATTTGCATGTTGGTGGGGGTACAGCACTTGTGTCACACACACACACATCTAGTTTACAATAATGCAAACAATAACATGAATAAGACATACTGCTTAATGTTACTAGCAAAATGAATACTATTGAATATTGCATTAATCTTCTTTTTTTTTACCAAACATGCTATAATTTACCAAAACTGGTTGAAATTGGTTCAATAAATCAGAGGAGAAGCTGAAAATATATTAAGGTTTATGACCAACAACAGTCAGATGACGGGCAAAAAGAGGTAGCAAAGGGTCGACTGAGTCACTCAGGTGACCTAATAAAAATGCACAGCTACATATCTCACAACTGACTAGAACAGATTTCTCTGTTACAATCTTAAATTCTACAAAACATTACAGATTCAATCATCCTGTTTATTTCAGCAAAGGGGGGTATAAATTAGTTATAGCAGTACATATAACAATCATTTGTTCTACAAGGTGTGCCTCAGTCAAAGGAAGTACGTTCTGTAAAATTTTAAAGTTTTTAATTTGTTCCATTTTCATTTCTACAACAATTCTAGGGGCTGCAATTTGTTGTGTCTTGAAAAATTCTTTCTGAGTCATTTGTGCATTTGAAGCAATAAAAGGGGGCATATTTAAACCAATGTGACCTGGTAGTAAGTCACCTATTGTGAAACCTTTATCAGCTAATATAATATCGCCACTCTCAAGAAGTGGTAAAAAGAGGTGACCATCTTTCTGAACAATATGTCTGTCTGATGCACGACCTCCCCAAACACGTGATATAAATGAAACAAGACCATTTGGTGCAACACCAATCAAAACCTTAAAAGTATTGTGATTTTTATATTCGCTCCAAGTCAAGTATTGTGCAGTAAGACTACTAGGTTTTTCGCAAAAAAATTCTGTAGCATCAATTACTATTCTGACATCTGGCATATCAACAAAACTTGAAGGCAAATTTGCTAATATTTGTTCTCTAGACGGCCAAGGAATAAGCCCTTTCATATGATCATACATAAAATTAATCCATGTGTTAAGAGTTCTTGATACTGACATTATTGAAATTCCAAAAAGATCTGCCAAAATTTCTAGTAATAAACCTAAACGAAGTCTTAAACAAACTAAATAAAACTCATCAATTGGACGTAATTTTCTTTTCCTTCCTGGTTTGGAAGTAAATTCATTAATATATCTTCTGTCCTCTATTTCTGTAGTTCTCTTTTGACCTTCCCAGTATGTCAATTTATCTGCCCCATGTTGTAATAACAAGTTAAAAATTAATGAAAATGTTGCAAAATTTGGAAATCCTGTGTAATAACGAGTCTTGTCGTCATTGTTCTCCAAATCTTCAGGCACAAGTTTTGGTAAATGTGTTTGAGTTCCACTTTCTTCCTGTTCACAGGTATTTGTACTGTTAGTCTGTGTAGAGATATCTGTATGAACAACAGAAGACTGGGTTGAAACATCCTGAGTTTTACTTGGAATGCTCTGAATAATAGTACTCACATCAAAATTAGCATTGGAACTTTTATCGGAGTTTTCACTGTTATTATTTTCATCCAAATTTTTCCGAAATAGGGGACGACGTGAAGAGATTTCCTTTTTTGCTTTGGAAAGATCCATATGAACAGGAACTGCACTTTTTGTACAGGAGTTTCCCTCAAAATGAAGGTTACAAAGTCTTGTATTCGAGGTAATCGGAGCATTTGGCCGAACGAGTTTTATTCTCTGAATCCAAATCGAGCGTCGCTTTATATCCTCTTTACTAGAACCTCCTGGCAAACAATGAAGTGAAATTTTGGTGCCATTTTCAAGAATTTGTCCTTGACTGTTTGAACAAAGAACACAGTATCTCTTCCCTCCACTACATATTTTGTTTTCCATGATGACCTGCAAAATTTTAAAAACCTGTAACTTTGGAAACTTAGTACTTATACCCCCCCCCCCCCCCCCCCGTTCACGAGAATGGACTTGTAATGTAACTCATTAAATAATCACACCCTTAAAAAGTCTCATTGCCAAAGAAAACAGTGTCGAAAGTTTGATAATATCTTTAAACACTTTATTGCTGACATTTATAGATACAATTTTGCCAGATCATCTCGAGATATATATATCGATGCAATTTGCAATGTCATTCTGAAAATGAATACCGTTTGTATGCTGTTAAAATAAGTAAGCGTACATTTTTGGAATGGAATGAAAAGTTTAAGTAATAAAAATTACAAGAATATAGATAACACTTACCTGTGCGTTAGGGAAAAGTCGGAAAACTAGCAGAGATCGCCAACGTTTTGTTTTTGTTATGATCAGAAGTGAAACCGGAACTACCTAACTAGAAATCGACGGTATCGCCATCTGGTGATTCAAGGGCATTCACTCGGGATAGCGGTAGTGAGCGATTACTTAGCACTTTTTGATTCTAACAGTTCATTAAAAGTTATCTTTTTCAAAACTTGTATTGTCAATATCATCATGATCATCTTTTACACATTTGCTTCCCTTATTTTATTGCATACCTTATTGATAAATAATTTGTTTTTCACATATGTTTTAAGGTATGAGATAAGGAAATTAATCTTCACATATGATTCCAACTCTCTCCAGATATCACATGTACACCACAAAGTCTTCTTATTGATGTATGTAAGTGTAAATTAAATGAATGAGTTAGTTTTAATCAATTTTTTGTTGTTGATATATCCGTCTTATTTTAAACAAATAGAAATAAGTGGTTACTATTAATATAATTTTAGCTGAGCCGATGTCGATAAAGCGTCCAAAAAAAAGATTTGTTTTTAGCTGGTTTGATCTGGGAAGGGGGGATTTCCACACAAGCCCATGGGGGTGCAGAAAAAGTTCCTGGATGAGAACTTGTCTTTGTCCAATTATTTTGCATTGCATATGTAAGGAAGAATGCTTCAAAAATTCCTCCATGTAATTAGTTTATTTTTAAGTGTACTTGTTGTTTTTATGAAATTGAACTCATCCACGATGCGCAGTAGAATGTTTGTAAGTATTTTTTCCACATTTTTAGAGACCGATGTCTGGGTCATAGGTTTGAACTATACCATCCGCCAGATCTACTCATCCCATATACTTGTACAGGATTACAACATTGGGCAATCGTTTAGTTACACCTCTACTATTTTGATTTTCCTCCAAACTATAATTACGTTACAAAATATAAAAAAAAGTAAAGGTTGAAAAAAGAAACAAAATCTTTTCAAATTTACCAAAATTATTAATCTAAATTCAAAAAGAACAAAAGCAAATTTTATATAAGAAATTGCCTAGATATATACAATATTAATTTATTTACATTGGGGTTCCGTAGGAGATTTCATAGTTATGTTGTGTCTGTTGCCGTATTTCACTGCCTTCTATTCTTCCTTCTGAACCTTTGTCTGGCGAAATGATCTATGCATACCTTATCTTGATACAAATTTTGAAACATTATTAGATTTTGTTTTAATAATTACTAGTAAAATTTATTCTATAATAATTAATATAACTAATCATGTAATTACAGTAATAATTACTTGTAAAATTAATTCAAGTTTTATTTTTCAAGGATCAATTTTTGGCGCATGAATTTAATCAGACTATTTCCGATTGTTTTCTTTTAAAAATCTTTAGATTGACATGGCCACATTTTTTTGGGAGGGGGGGGAGGGGTCAAAAGCTGATTCAGATTCATATATTTTCATTTTTACATATTTATTAAAGACTTAAATTTTGCACCTTGCATTTATTACGGCGTAGAATTGCTAACGCCTGGGGAAAAGCTCTACGGCGTGCGCCTTACGCCCAGCAACACATATGTCCTTTGGATGATCCTTATCGACCTTAAAATATGACAAGGTTTAGGCTTAACAAAGTTTATTGTCTCGTGTCCCGAGCATAAGTGAGTATATTACAACATGATAAAGATTGATTAATTTACAAAGTATTATAATTAATTAATAGTAAAATACAAAATATAAAATATTAATTTGTATTAAATTACCAAGTAACTTAAAGTGATAATAAAGGAACAATACAGTCGTCCGCCATTAAACATTGACGGCCATGTTGAAAACTTACTTCCGGTTACATTTCTGGTACTAAAATATTACAAAGCGTTATGGCGTCCGATACATTCAACATAAGTGAAATAGAATAAAATGTTACAGAAGGAAAATAAAGCACAATTTTAATCGTATACTTAACTTTAATAATGCGGTGAAGTATGATATTTATTTTCCGACTTAATTTATTTAACTTTTAAAGGAATGAATACCTAATAATATGATGTTCTTTAATTATTCTTTTTTCAACAAATAATTAGATCCTAACTTTAATTTCACAATTAATAAATCAACTGTTAATTTAGAATAAAACTGAATTCTTAATTGAAATGCTAAATATTAGTTATAAATATAAAATAAGTAAATGTTTCAATACTGACGTTAAAATTTGACAAGGTTGAGGCTTAACAAAGTTTATTGTCTCGTGTCCCGAGCGTAAGTGACGGGAGAGAGACGGGAGAACAAACTTAAACCTCGCACCTGTCCTTTGAGAGGTCACTCAAGGGGGCTAATTATATTTAATTACAATTGTCATTAATGAAATTTAATTGATATCTCTAACGGAGCCTCACAAGGATAGCGTCCCTTATTACCTAGAGTTTGATTCAACTTGCCGAAGAGTTTCTCACTTTTTCTGGCATCTATTGTTAAGAGTTAATCCCGAAGTGATAGTAAATTATATTTTCCTGATCTTGTTTCTTGACTTATTTCAGGAATCAAAGTTTTAATTTCCTCAATTGTAGCATTGCTTCTAGCTTGCCATCTAACTCGTATATTGTTCATGGTTTGAATAACCTTGTTAAAATTTGAACAGTTCACACAATCACTTGTCGAATCTAGCTGAACTGTTTTTGGCAGATCAACTGCAAACGTATGTAACCAGACATCATTGGAAAACTGTACCTTGGATTTCTGTTGAAAAATGACACCATAGTTCAGTCTGACTTTGTTTGCAACATCCACAGGTATGACCAAATGAGCAAGGATGATGCAGAAGAATAAGAACAACCGCATTCTGATCATATGACTGATTCTAAAATACAAAATAAAGGATTCTAAGTTGTACGTTTTAATTTGTGTGTTGGCCACCACACTTAGCACTATTAAACGAGAATTTTCTCAAGAACAAACATCAGAGAAGCCTAAATTGAGAGGATAAATTTGGATCTTATTCCCAGAATGCAATTGTTGTACTCTTACTTGCATTAATTTTGCTTCTTAGAGTAGGTCGTTTTGCGCTTACGCTTTTTACCTGACTTTGTTTTTGTTGCATGGTACTCACGTACAAGTCCAGGTCCAACGTCGTCTTCCGGTAACCAACTTGTTGGATAATTACCTTCCCATTTGACTAAATACTGACGCTTACCTTGTACATACCTTGATTTGATAATCTTTTCAATCGGAAACCAATTATTGCTAGGATCATTCGACACCGCGGATTGATTATCGCGCGCATTTTGAATGTTTTGAGGTGCATCGGTATCCGATATTTCTGTGTTTTGAGTTTGGTTTCGTACTTGCGTGTCTTTTTCAGTGTTTGCATTTTTAGACCTACCTGTTTCTTGATTTGGGTTTTCTATAGGTTGTAATCGCCGATCTTGTGGATCGTGATACGGCTTCAGTCGGTTTGCATGTATAGAAGCTTTCAGAAGTTTGTCGAACAGTGTCGTAAGCAGTATGTGTTTTTTCCGTTGATTTTGACGATGTAGTAAGGTCCTTCCCACTTTGCATGGAGCTTTTTGGAATACCCAACTGGCGTCTTTTCAACTTTGACAAGTACTTGTTGATATATACGAAATGATGGGTCTTTGGATTTTGCGTTGTTTGCAGCTGTTGTCTGCTCTCGTTTTTGAGAAACGTTGTGCTTTGCTGTTTTCTCAACCACCTTTAGTTCTCCGATAAGTTCATCAAAATGTTGTTTTCCCTCATTACCCATGATTTCAGTAGGAATGACTTGTGTGTCGAAAGGAAGATTCATTTCCCTACCAAATAAGAGCTTAAAGGGCGAGAACTGCGTTGATTCTGTACATGGAGAACTTCTAAGAGACATTAACACACTTGGTAAAAGCTTTAGCCAGTTATTTTGATCTTTGTCGATGTAAGCACGAAGACATTGTGAGATGACTGAGTTGTACTCTCTACTGGTGAGTTGGACTGCGGATAGTATGGACTAGTGGCTATCTTTTTGATTTTGAAAAATTCGCATAAAGCACTTACCAGTTTTGACATGAAGTTCTTCCCTCTATCGGACACAAGGGTCATTGGCGCTCCGTATCTGGCAAAAACTTCAGAATAAAGGAGTCTGGCTACCTCGGAGGCTTCTTGCGTCTTGGTCGGAAAGACTTCAATCCATTTGGAAAGACTGTCTATGACCACTAGTGCATGCTGGTACCCTTCAGTTGTTTTGTTAAAGGACATGAAATCAATGTGCCATGTCTCCAATCTGTCCGAAATCGGTAGTGTTTGAAGAGGTGCGTTTGGTTGGTTGATTGGCCTTTTGATTCGTTGACAGACATCGCATGAGGAAATGTAATCAGAAATGTCTCGATACATACCATTCCAAAAGTATTTTTGCTGTAAAGCCCGATGAGTTCTAGTTATTCCTAAGTGACATCCTCCTGCTAAGTTGTCATGGTAGGCTCTCAGGGCAGCAGTGCGTAGTGTCTCGGGTAACCAGAGTTGTTTTATTGCTTTTTCATTTTCAGTCTTACCTTTTGTCCGTGATTCATAAAGGTGATAGAGAACTTTATTTTCTAAGACAAAATAGTTTTCCATATATAGGATAGATTTTGATAGTTTTTCGTCATCGGGTAACTTTTGAGTTTCCAAGTATTTAATAAGATGTTGCATTTTTGTCTCACCTTCTCGTTGTAGTTGACCAATATCATCTATGTCGGGTACATTTGGGTCTGGTTCTGTCTCTAGTAGGTTTACAGATGGATTGTCGTCGTATGTAAACACGGCTCGGTAAGTGTCATTGAAAGTTGGCGCTTTTCTTTCGGCAATACTTACAAGTGGTTACGGGTCCTTATTCCCGGTTTTCTCCTCAGAATCTTGGTATGGTCGTCTGGACATAGCATCAGCATTTCCATTAGTGTCTCCAGGTCGATATAGGACTTCGAAATCGTACTCCTGTAGTCTCAATGCCCAACGTCCAAGTCTTCCCGTGAGATCTTTCTGAGTTTGCAGCCATTTGAGAGCTCTGTGGTCTGTTATGACCTTGAAATGATTATTCGCTAGATAGACGCGGAAATGTCTGATACCTTCTATGACAGGTAAGCATTCTCTATCTGTTATCCACCATTTCCGTTCGTCTTTGTTTAGCGATCGTCCACCATATGCTACTGGGTGTTCCTTACCATTCTGTACGTGTGCAAGAATAAATCCTAAAGCTGAGGATGAAGCATCACAAGTCAAGATGAACGGTTCGGACATGTTTGGGTACGCTAGGAACAGTGCCGTAGACAGTGAAGTTTTCAGAGTGTCAAATGCTTTCTGGCATTCAGTTGTCCAGTCAAAGGTAACATTTTTTCTGTAGAAGCTGATTAAGAGGGGTCGCAATAATCGAGTAAGAATGAACAAACTTACGGTAGTAATTACAGAGTCCCATAAAACTTTTAATTTCATTTTGATTTTTGGGAACGGGATAATTCTGCACTAATGAAACTTTTGAAGGATCTGCCATGATACCGTCTTTGGAAAACCTGTGTCCAAGGTAAGATACCTGTTCAACGGCGAATTGGCACTTGGATGGCTTGCGTGTAAGTCCGGCGTCCATCAATCTCTGAAAAGCTTGCTTTAGGTGATGCAAATGAGCTTCAAAGTTCTTACTGTAAATCAGGATGTCATCCACATACACTAATGCATGTTTCCAATGAAGACCTCTTAGTACTTGCATCATGACCATTTGGAACGTAATAGGGGCGTTGCGAAGTCCGAAAGGCATGCGTGTCTACTCGTATATTCCTGTGTGCGTGATAAAAGCGGCTTTATGTTTTGACGACGGGTCCATCGGAATCTGCCAAAATCCACTGGCAAAATCAAGTACAGAGAAAATTTTTGCATCTGCTTCTCCAATAGCATCTACAACATCGTCTAATCTCGGAAGCGGAAATGAAGTCGGTCTTGTAACTTTATTTAACCTCCGATAATCTATCGCAAAGCGATACTCACCATTTTTCTTCGGAACTAAAACAACGCGAGAATACCAATCGGAATCTGAGTGCTCAATAATATTATTTTGAAGCATTTCATCTATTTGACGCTCAATTTCTTTCTTCATCGCGGGTGATGTGCGATAATTGGGTCCGCGAACCGGAAGTGCATCTCCTGTGTCAATATGATGTGGATAAGTTGTACTTTTGCCTATCTGTGAGAGAGAGATCAGATGAGAAAACTGATTTGTTTTGATTTAGAAATTCTTTTGGTTGTTCTTTTTGATTAGATGTAAAGTCGCAGTTTGCCAAATCAAAATCAATGTTTTCAGAATTATCAGTACTAATGTTCGCGACCATAGGTTTTTCAGCAAGAGTTTTTGAGTCTAAGCCTATAACTGATTCTTGATGCACTTCTGAAACCGTAGCGATGACTGATGTCGACGGCAGAGAGCGTTTGCTTTTAGTTGGGTTCATTATTTCCATAACTGCGCGACCGTTGCGAACTTTACCTAAAGAACGCGCTCCAAGCAATTGTCGATTTGAAAGGGCAGATGTAGGTTCTAATAGAACTGGCTTACCTGAAGTTTGTCTTGAGACTGATACATCCAAGCGTATTGAACTTTCTGACTGAATAACAATAGCATTAGTCTAACTAACCCTAAATTTGTATGTAACATACACACTAAAGGTTTGTTACCTAGAATTGTCATGGTCTCTGATGCAAAATCTATTTCTACCTTGTTCTTAACAAGAAAATCTCTACCAATAATAAGTGAATGGTGCAGATTGTCAAAAATTAGGAAGGTGTTAGTAAAGGTTGTATCACTAAATGTTAATGGAAGAGTGATTTCCCCTTTCACACTATGACATTAACATCCGAAATTTCTAACTTGGTAAGCAACTTCGAGTGAATACAACTAACGTCAGCACCTGTGTCTACCAAAGCATTTGTCTTAACATTCCCTACATGAACACTGACTGTACTCTTATGTAAAAATGTTTTGAGACTAAGAACTGTTGGATTTTCCTTTTTTGACAATTTAGCACTTTTTTGAGAATTAGACTTGTTTTTGAATAATTTGGATTTTGGAATAGAAAGCGTTTGCTTAATTTCAGAAAGAGTCTTATCCCTAGCACTTACAGCAGCCTTTATCAATTCTTTGTCTCTGTATCCACCTATAGATGATCTATAGACAGGCTCGAATCCCTATTTACGATTACCTGATCTACACATTCTCTGAAAATGACCTAGCCTGGAACATTTTCTACACCTTTGATTTAGAGCTGGACAGTTCCTCCTACCCCTACAATCCATTCCACATCTAGAACACTGATAGTATGACCTAGATTGATTGGGGTTTGAGGCTCTAACCAGAATTGGTCTAGATTGAGAAAAAGTTCTTTGATTTTGACCCAAAGTCCTTTCTACGTGGGTAACATTCGCGGAAGCTAAAGCTGACTGATGTAATTTTTCAGACATTTCATCAAATTTTGCATGCAAGGATTCTACTTGAATACTGTCATTGGAAAAACAATTTTTCTCTGCTAAAACTGCAAGCCTACGAACCTGATCAACTGTCTCAGACTCTCGCATGGTTACATTTTGTTTAATGTTACTCGATAACCCATTTAACAAAGCACCTACTTGTAGATTTTCAGGCCAATTGACCTTCTGAGCCTGTTTTTGAAACCTGGTAATATACCGCTCAGCTGATTCAGCTGGCAGTTGTTGTATTTTAAACAGTGAAACGTCATATGCATTGTTCTGAACTCTAAATCTGTTTAAAAATGCTGTTGCTACATCTTCAAACTCTCTATTCTTAATTCTAGCATCTCAATTATCGTACCACAGTGAAGCGGCGCCTGACAAGTGCAATGGAAAGCCAGCCGCTTGTCTATCTTCGTTTAAATTCATGAAGATAGAGTACTGGCGATATTTTGCCAGCCAGGCGACAGCATCTTCGTCGCCACCTCCAATCTTTTCAAATGAATATGAAGACTTACCTCGTCTTCAATCCGGTCTTCCAAGTTGAAGACTTCTTCGTCTTCCAAGAACGTTGTTCTTAACGAGGTTGGATTCTGATATTTAAAGTCTTAAACTTTTTTGTCAAGTATATTTTTAGTTTCTACACACATAGCTTAATTAAAAATCAAAACAAAAAATGGGGGTCAATATTCTTCTTTTAGCGCTACAGTACATTATATATGACCTTTTTGCACTGAAATTTATGTCTTAATCAAAAATCACATCTTCGACGTTTTTCCCCCAATGTTTTTATCCAAATAAATCATGGGGCAAAATAAACTATTAGTCCATTTAAAAAAAGACTCATTAAAATTGTGACTAAGTAAAAGTTTCAAATTGCTTCGCATAATCAATTATTTGACCTTTCTGCACTCTCAAAACGTGATTTTTCTGGCATAAAAAATTTAACAAGCAAGAAAATTATTTTAAAGTCTTAAACTTTTGCTGAATTTAAGCAGATTGATCAAAGTTATCTTATATATTAAGAAAAGAAAAACAAAAGTGGGGGTCTATGATATAAATTTTTAGATATTACTAAAAATGTGTTAATTTTATGTTAAAATTGGCTCAATTTTTTCCTGGACTTTCAGAATATATTTACTATATTTGTCACAAAATAATTAAAGAATTCAAAAGAAATAATTTGATAGATATTTCAGAACCAGAATAAAACATTTCACAGCAAAGAACAGCTCTGTTTGCAACCAGCATGGAAAAATAGGAATCTAAACTTAACAGTACTGAATATATTTCAAAAGGAAAAAATTGATCATTTTCTTCTAAAGAACCTTCCGCCACAAAATATAGTCCCTGACTTAATCCTATTTGAATGGCAATTAATCGCGGTTTTTTCTTTGAATATAGTTTAATTTGCATTGTAGAATCCAGATTTAATGTTAGAACTTAAAAATGATGCAGAATTTTAGAAATAAAGGTTCAGACCAAAATCTGCTCAAAAGCTCAGGATCGAACCTCCTTAAGGATATGTGAACCTGACGATTTTGAACCTACCGCGCAACTCGAACTGCTGAAGATCAGGTCAATGTCGTGATCATACGTAGAGCGTTTGGTTTTGCTATTAAACTATTCTAAAGGATCGTAAACACCGAATTCCTTGTGAAATAAAGTCAAATTAAATTAATATTGCATGTTTTTCATAAATTTTTGCTTTTTGCTTGTTCTTCCGACCTCGGAGCATTTACGACATACCCTTGCCGTTTTGCGACACCATGTCGGTAGAAAGGGACGCAACGATACATTTGCACGGAAAACACAGTATATATTCCAGTAAAGGGTTATATTTAGGCAAGAAATATAGAGATTGATGCTGTTAGGTTTCGTGCAACAACTTCCCAAGCGATGTCACCTCTGAATACAGTATCATGATGCACTACATGGTTTCAGGTTAGTAAAAATAAACAGCAGAATAAACATGCACCAAACACTGAAACAGAATGATAACTTCACACCTTATATACGTATTCTTTGGTTGTAATTAATATCATTATAGCACCATCGACATTCATTTTCTTACTAACTGGGATTTACATCATTCACGTCAGTTTAAACTTTTTAATTTAAGCTTTAATTTAAAATTGCAGAAAATCTGCCAAATTTTCCTATACAGTTACATATATATAGATATCTCGCTCATAAATTCAAAAAGATGGGAAAAATAAACATCTAGCATGACATCAGTGACCTCTGAGTATAATATTTGGTGCCAAATATTTTGTACCTGTGTTTTTCAGACTTGGAAATATACAAGTTGCATAAAATATTTAAAGTCTTTTAATTCTTAGTGGGGTCAAAATTTTCCTTCATTTATTAATATGGAATTATAATATAGTCTGAAGTGACATTTCTAAGATAAACATTGTAATTGCTTTTTGTTTACTAGAGTCAAACTATCAAATTACACTTCACTAGCCAAGTGACAAACTTAATGATAAACAATTCAGTATGATGTATGTCTGTGCAATACAAGATATTACTTATTAAAAAATGATGGGTTATGTACTTAGCCTAAGAAATGAAGTAATGTGGGGAAAAAAGACTTGATCAAAAAGTGTTCATAATTTTTTTTAAGACAACAAATTGACCAATTCTTATTCAAAAGAACAGGACTCCTTTTCTTGAGTGAGCTTGAACACTGTGGTGACTTTACACATTCATTCATTAGTCTTTGTTGTTGGTTATGGATGCTTATGTGCTGCATAATTCTTAATCTTTTAGAATTTTGGAATTGTATGAAAATTTTAATAAATAATAATTAGCACTTATTATTATTATATCAATTTCATATAAAGGAAGGAAGATGTTTTAGAGAGAGATAATTCCCAAAACAATGTGAGATTACAGATTATGGAAGATTGCTGGGCATTATGACAAACAAAGGTCTGATTAAACATTAAATATCCTTTTGCCATTCAATCATTTGCAAACAATTTAACTTCAAGACCTATATGGCTTTGGATCTCTACTAAAATAAATTTTAGCAAATGAATAATTATACTGCTTTAAATGATGTAACTGTTCTATGAAATTATTTACTTACTACCGGTAATAACTAATTGACATTGATTGTACATATTCAAAGAATATCTATAAAATTTACTTGTAAATTGAATATATATTTGTGACTGATTTGTAATTTGTACAGGTATCAAGGAGGAATATGAACAATGTAGGTCAGCAGTCAAAATCTCTCACCTTATTCAACTCTTAACAGCATGTTCCTATGGATCCAGATGCATTAAAAGATTTCTATTGTGTTGCAACCAATGGAATAGGTAGGAATGAATTAATTTTATTAAAATAAAAAAAAGGGTTCACTATGCATTCAATTCTGATGGGGGGGGGGGTTAATATATTTTGTGGCCTTCAATAAGGACAAAATATTTATTTCCCAGCTCACCAAAGACAAATTATGACAGCAAGATTATTATTTTATTTTCACTGGAATAAATTAGACAAAAGAAAAAAATATTCACAGTGGAGAAGAATTTTTTTATTTTATTAACATCTAGGTCAGATTATTTCCAAAATCTGCCCTCAAAATCAAAAGGTCCTCCTTTAACTTGCTAGCATGATAATAGAATTTTTAAAAATATAACTTTTTGAAGCCTCATTAGACTAGTCATACTTCATAAATAACTGGAAAGGTGTTAAATTATTAAAATGTTATATAGTAATGTAGTAAATTTTAAATAGGTATTATATACAGTTGAACTTTGATATCTCGAACACTGATATCTTGAATACCATGGATATGTCGAAGTGATTTGGAAGTCCCAACTACTTATCCTTAAAGTATTTACCCCTTATATCTTGAATGCTCGGATATTTCGAAGTTTTTTCTCAGTCCCATCTAGTTTGAGATAATGAGGTTTGACTGTATTTACAATTTTACTTGTATACTATATATTGTATATATATATATATATATACACCCATAAGATAAAAAACCTATGCTGTATCCACGGGTATGTGCTTTATCAATAATACGTCTTCCAGTTTCGACACAATCCCTAGGCCTCGCTTCAAGATGTAAACTTATCGAAACTTCTAATTGTTAAAGTTCTGTGTTATCAAATGAATGCTGATGAGCAAAAATGTTCATTAAATATGAGAAAAAAACTAATATCACTTCAATGAAATGTCAAAATTTATCAATGTACTGGCTACAGCGATAAAGGATGTTACACCCCCCCCCCCCCCACACCCACACACACACATAATTGCTCTCATAGGAAATGTTAGATCTAGCAGTTAAGTTGTAGTTGGAATATATTGGCAAGCCTCGCGAATATACACCATTCAACTCATTGGATAAAGCAAATATCAAATCACACAATATAGATATCCTCTATAGTCTATATATCCATGTCCACTTATCATTTGAAGGTTAACACTAAAATGGATTTTATTTTCCAGGCTAAGAATCACACTGTTTTGCCTCTGTCACCAAAGACTGAAATGTTTACTTCAAAAGACCTTCACCTGCAGTTATTAATAATTCAACAAAGTTCGTGGCCCAAAAAAGCTTGCAGTTGAAAAGGAAAGGAAAGATAAAAAAGATTCACTATGTCATAGAAGCTAGCTTTACTAGAACTGTGTAGAAACTTTTGTCAAGGTTAAAGAAATCATTTTGTATAAACAGAACTAACAGTTATTGCTCGAACTTTTTAACAGGGATAATTTAAACTGGTGATTGTTATCTTTATATGTTGTACATTTTGATACTATTTCCAATTAGATTATGCAAAAATATGTCATTTGTATCAGATAATGCTTATAAGTGTTAATGTGAGTTTAAACAGAGGAAATTCGGACTGCAATTTTTGGGGAATTAGATTATGAAAATACACTACTTTTATATAGGATTTAGATCCTTTTGTCCTATATTCTAATACATTGTACATTCAATGGTTAAAAGTTCCTTGTATAGATATTTAATGGGAATTTATTGTTCATTTTTTCTGCCATCATTCAGAATAAAAAAAGTAATGTTTAAAGGAAAATAGGAAATCGGGATGATAATTATCTTAATTATTAAAGACCGATTCATAATTTTCTTTATATGCATGATTTTTAGTTTTATTTCAAGATAGTAATATATTTAAAATCAAATAAAATAATTTTTTTGTTTGATTTTTCATACATCAGCACAGATAAATGTGCTTTAGGAATCAGTTTTTAAGAAAAGTTAGAGAAAATTCAGGTTACCATATTTTTTTTTCCGATTCATGTACATACCAATTTTTTTCCTCTGTTACATAGCATTATATCACTTCTTTAAAATGAAGTTGAAAAATAAAATATTCATTTATACCAAGTGTGATTTTATAACCTTTTTTGTAGTCAAGGGCAAGGAAATATAGTCAAATTTAAAGAGGGCAGAGGAAATTCAGACTGTGATAGTGAGCTATATAAATATGATAGCTATGAAAAAAAAAGCTTAGATCACTAAAGTTGTCCACAGACCTTTTAAATATTTGTAAAAATCTACTTCTGCTTATATTTTGTTTCCATTTTATAGCCTTTTTCACAGATAATCGTGTATCAGAAGTAATTTTTTGAAAGTGATCAGAGAAAATTTGGATTACCATATCTTTTTTTCTGACTCATGTACATACCATTTTTTCCCCTTTATTACTTAGTTCTATAACACTACTTCAAAATGGAATTTAGAAATTAAGATTTTATTTATAGCCAATGTGATTTTATATCCTTTTTTATAGTCAAGGTCAAGGAAAAATAGTCAAATTTTAAGAGTGCAGAGGAAATTCAGACTGTGATTGTGAGCTATTTAAATATGATAGCTATGAAAAAAAGCTTAGATCAATAAAAGGTGTCCACAGACCTTTTATATATTTGCAAATAACTACTTCTTCTTATATTTTGTTTCCATTTTATTGCCTTTATTACAGATAATCATGCATCAGAAGTAATTTTTTAAAAGAGGTCAGAGAAAATTCAGATTACCATATCTTTTTTTCTGACTCATGTAAATACCAATTTTTTTCCTCTGTTACATAGCTCTATAACACTACTTTAAAATGGAATTTAGAAATTAAGTTTTTAATTATAGCCAATGTGATTTTATATCCTTTTTTGAAGTCAAGGTCAAGGAAAAATAGTCAATTTTTAAGAGGACAGAGGAAATTCAGACTGTGATTGTCTGCTCTCTGAATATGACACCTATAAAAAAAGCTTTACTACATTATGCTCATTCATAAGTCTTTAAGATAACTGCAAAAAATTAAATTCTAATCATAATTTATGAGATTTTTTTAATCTTTAATTAATTACAGTAGACCTTTCTTCATAGCTTTAATCTTTTTAAACAAGGGCAAGTTCAGAGGCTGTTGCCATGGAAACCAACTCATGTACATATATCAGAATTGCTGTTATTTGAACAAGGGACTTGTCCTCTATGCAACGGTACCTATTTTTTAACTTTCCAATTACTTTTATTTCAGGTTCACATATCCTTAAGTAATAATTGTGTGGTCTTGGCATGTGACTCCGAGTGAGAGGAGCCGGATCTTTTTCTCCACCACGTATTACGGCGTAGAATTGCTAACGCCTGGGGAAAAGCTCTACGGCGTGCGCCTTACGCCCAGCAACACCTATGTCCTTGGGTTTATTGTCTCGAGTCCCGAGCGCAAGTGAGTATATTACAACATGATAAAGATTGATTAATTTACAAAGTATTATAATTAATTAACAGTAAAATATAAAATATTAATTTGTATTAAATTACCAAGTAACTTAAAGTGATAATAAAGAAACAATACAGTGGTCCGCCATTAAACATTGACGGCCATGTTGAAAACTTACTTCCGGTTACATTTCCGGTACTAAAATATTACAAAGAGTTATGGCGTCCGATACATTCAACATAAGTGAAATAGAATAAAATGTTACAGAAGGAAAATAAAGCACAATTTTAATCGTATACTTAACTTTAATAATGCGATGAAGTATGATATTTATTTTCCGACTTAAATAACTTTTAAAGCAATGAATACCTAATAATATGATGTTCTTTAATTATTCTTTTTACAATAAATAATTAGATCCTAACTTTAATTTCACAATTAATAAATCAACTGTTAATTTAGAATAAAACTGAATTCTTAATTAAAATGCTAAATATTAGTTATAAATATGAAATAAGTAAATGTTTCAATACTGACGTTAAAATATGACAAGGTTGAGGCTTAACAAAGTTTATTGTCTCGTGTCTCGAGCGTAAGTGACGGGAGAGAGACGGGAGAACAAACTTAAACCTCGAACCTGTCCTTTGAGAGGTCACTCAAGGGGGCTAATTATATTTAATTACAATTGTCATTAATGAAATTAATTGATATCCCTAACGGAGCCTCACAAGGATAGCGTCCCTTATTACCTAGAGTTTGATTCAACTTGCCGAAGAGTTTCTCACTTTTTCTGGCATCTATTGTTAAGAGTTAATCCCGAAGTGATAGTAAATTAACTCAAATATCTACGTACTGAGAGATGAATAGATAGACAGGCAAATGTTTATATTAAAAATTAACTTTACCATTTGATAATTGCCGATATGTGATAATGTATTATTCTAAAATAAATTGTTACATATTTTTGGACAAGAAATAAAGGGAACCTGTGTGTGAATGTTAATCCGACATACTAATTTATTTATTTAAAAGGCACTCTTATAATTCTGAAAAATACCTATTCTCAAAATCATGAACTTTTAAATAAAACTTGCCTGTAATTTAGATAGAAAAATAAAATAATGAAGATAAAAATATTGATAATTATTGATTATATAAAATTATTTCAAATATAAAAACATTAAAATGTGCACCGTCACACATTTCTCAATCACAGTTGAGGTTAGGTATGTCTGATTTTGGTGAAGGTGGTCGCAGTGTTGGACTTTCAAATTAGTTGTCAACAAAAACATGGTGATTCTTTCCATATATTGGAGCTACAAGCTCATCAACGACCTCAAACCGTTGGGATGCGTCAAATCTCTTGTTTGTGCCTTTCCTATTTTTAAAACGAAATATCAGCATTTTTATCAAATATGGATACACAACATGGGCTTATGATAGTCATTTTAGAATATATGAACCCTGAATTAAGTTTTCGTTCATATTAATTTTTTAATACGATTATTTCTGCAGAGTATCTAATTTTAATTAACAATTCCATATACATGTACATGTCTGGTTTTATAAGATTTTGAAATCGGTAGTGACACTTACGACCTAATACTATTTGTTGTATCTTTCAGCGATACCTGATATGATAAATACTAAAATATCGTTATCTGCAAATTATCTGCTCGCATTGTTTATTTTAATGACTTAATTATACCGAAAGTGGTTTTTATCATGCATAAAAATTTTCCACAAAATAATTTGATTTGAATTATTTCGAACAAAATATTTATGTCTGTACATTCAATCCAAAGTGATAAGAAAAATGCAAATAAATAGATAAGTATTTTTGTCTACTCCCATATGTAATTTATATACATGTTTTATTTATGTTATTTGCAATAATATTTGAATGCAAGGGTGATACGGTTAAACAAGGATTTTTCCGGGAAATATTAAAACAGTTCGAATTTTAGTGTCACTTGGGCGCTTGAACTGAAAGCAACCCAGGCTGTTAAGTGATATTGACTATTGTATACAGTGTTATTTTCGCCCTTTCACACTTGCAGACAATTTTGCCCCGTTTTAAATTCGCTCAGTCACAATTCTGTTTAAGAAATTATAAAGTGTTTTTTTTAATTCGCCCCGTTTTAAATTCGCCTACCTCTGAGTAGGGCGAAAATAAAACGGGGGCGAAAATTTCCCTTTATATAGTAAATCATCTGAATATCCAAAAGGGGGGGGGGTAAGATTTTACTATTAACTAAACTATTTCTTACCATTTTTTTAAATTTATAATGATATAACAGCTGTAATTTTTCTACATACATCTTAAACGTGGATAACTAGCATTTCGTCTAACCCCCACCGTGCGGTACACAACACACACACACAGACCTTTATACGTGTATACTTAAACAGCTGTTAAATATAATGAGGCAAAAAAATGTACAAATTTTTCCAGAATGATATACAGGTGGAATTGAAAATTATTTCTTATATTTTTGAGTTACATTTTGGGAAATATATATGTGTGTACTTGTGGGGGGGGGGGGGAGGGGTATTGTATTTTCTTAAAAATGGAAGAGTCAAGAGGTCATTGAATGTCTTTGGTTTGTGTGACTAGCCATTATATCAGTGAATAAGAATATAGAAAAATGCATTCCACAGAAATAATTACCTGCATAAAGTTTTACATGATATGTGTAACCAGTATCAGACTCTGCAAGAACAAATAACTTGGCTTCCCATCGGTGTGTTTTTTTTTTGGCGGGAAGATACTGGATAATGTGATTGCGGCCTTTAAACCCCACCATACTCTCATCAACAGTAACTCTCTTTAAATGTACTGTTCACAAGGTCCAGGACAGGCCGAAATTTGTGGGAGGGATCATGATCTCTCCTTCCGCGTTGAACTGCTAGATTGTTGTCATTACAGTGGAGATACTGGAGAAGGAGCTGAAACCTGTTTCTTGTCATTATCGTTTTAAAATTTGGTGTTTGAAACAACCAAGAAGAAAAATTTTCATGCCAATATGATTCAATGGTGGGCCTCCGTATAATGCCCATACCCATATACAGACCTATAAATGCCGCTTACTTCATGTGGCCTTAGGTAGTCCTGAGGGTTGTCGATTGCTGACCATATCCTTGGGGATTGAAGAATTTAGTGCCTCTTTGACATCAGAGGATAGAAGAGGTTCTTCGCCATCATCAGAAAATGATAAATTCTCAAAATCTTCACTGTCGGAATTGTTGTCCATATTGGAGTTTTTTTCTGAGAGATCTAACTTAAAGACTGTGACGTCATTTTTACCCCAAATTGACGTTCACGTCATCGACAATTTCCCACCAAAAAGACCACCAAAACATCTATACAACAGATTCTTTTATTTCATATTTTTAATTGCATTGTACATTTAAAATATCGTTTATTATTTATATAAATAAAATTCAATTTTCGTTGGTAATTGCAGTTTAGTAACTTTTAATTCAAAGAGGGGGGGGGGTCTTTAGGTACGTATGGAACAACTTAAGTTAAAAGAAAGAGCACGACCAGTAGGAAAGGGGGAGGGGTTGTCATCAAACATTCTGGCAAAATAAAATAAGCGGGGTGGGGGGGGGGGCTTCGACACATCGGTCTTGTTTTCCTGCATTTTTCTTTTATAACTTAAGTTAATCTCTAGAGGTTGTAATTTATTAAAAATCTTTCTTTTTTTTTAAAAAATTGCAATCAATATATCTAGCCAAAATTTTCTTCCCTTATCGTGTTTGTGCAAGTAAACACAAGTAACATTTGTAGGTAAACTAAATCTAATATGTAAATGAAACATATTTAATTAAAAAGGGATATCGATTTTTAAAATTAAACGTTATACGAATACGTATTCATTTGAATATTACGTCTAGTTTTTGTAAATCATACATTTATTACTATTAAATTTATACAGTGCTTTATAAATTTCTTAAATTTGCCCTATCCAATGCATTTTACACGAATCATACTTAAATCCAGTAATATATATATATATATATATATATATATATATATATATATATATATATATATATATATATATATATATATATATATATATATATATATAAAAGATATGTGTCAAAAATTGTACAATTTGTTATATACCAGAGAGAGAGAGAGAGAGAGAGAGAGAGAGACCGTGCATAACTAAAACGATTTACAGGAAAAACAATTTTAATCAGAAATGTTTATTCATTATCTAATATTTCCAGTATATTTTCTGCCATTAAGATCATTTAGCAATTCTAGACTTAAATCAAAATCTCTGTCATTCATAGAACGAATATTTATTATAAACTGACCTTTGAAAACAAAAACTCTGACGGGTTTGTAGGGGAGTGTTCTCGGGTCAGATAATTCATATTTGATTTAATACCCTTGCAGGACAAAATATTTTTTCAGAGACAGATTTTAAAAAAATTATATTATTTCTTTCTTCCCGCAATAACTTGACACACTTTAAAAAAAAAGAAGAAAAATCTGCCTAAACTCGAAAACTTTGTAGAGGGAGGGTAAGTATGAACAGTCAATTTCAGATGATTATTTTTTTTTTCCAGTAGAGAAGAGATTATTTATTTGCAAAATCGTCAACGGCATATTGCTTCAATCCAGAATCTTATATTTACATTTGCTGTGTTTTTCCACTAAGCCAACTGTGCAATTGATCTGAAAGTCATTTTTGTGTATACTCACGCGTAGAAATATACACAGTGAAACTAGCGCAAAAGTGACGTCACAATGAGGATACGGAGACGTAAAAAATGTAACGATAAAGGGCAGCAAGAAATTCAAATATTGAGTATATTATTGGTGCTTTTAAACTTGTAAATTGTAAATATAAGGAAAGTTTTTAAATTTAGTGTGAATTATTGGTGTGTAAATCACACAGACTTGCACGTAGGCATATTTTTCATGAAGCGCTAGCGCGCTTCATGAAATATGCCTACGTGACAAGTCTGTGTGATTTACATACCAATAACTCGAACAAAACTTAAAAACATTCCTTAAATATCCCCCCAGGAATCAAATGATTGCCCCCTTAGTATCACGAAACGGAATCTTAAATTTCATGTGTTGTGTTAAATCTTTTTAAGGTGATGTACTGATCATAATTTGCAAGGTATAATTTTAAGTGCTTACAAAGAATCCGTGCCTTCTCTTTGAAAATATTCACTATGATATTCGTTTTTTTAAAGTCAGTTTGTGACTCTCTTCATTAATTTGTTTAAAGTGAATCTATAGTAAAAGTACAATGAATTTAACGTTATAATTTTCCACTGAAAAGTTTCTCCTATTGTGATGTTTTTGACGTCAGCATTGTGAGTTTGACGTCGTCTATGTATCATGGTTGTCCTTCAATGTTTGTCTGTCCACGGAAGATACAATTTTTTATCACTTAAAACAAGTAAATGCTTAAAATAAAAATTAATTAACTTAAACCTTATAGAGATCAAAACTTAATATTAACAAGAAATATATGGAGATAACGAACAGTATTCAAGCTCAAAAATCCATTAAACGATACAAAATAGGAGCAGAGCAAACACGGACCTCCAAAACATCAGAGGTGGGATCATTTGCCATGGAGGAGTGAACATCCCCTGCCGACCGGTCACATCCGCCGTGTGCCCCTTGTCATGATCGGGAAATAACGGAAAAATCCGCCGACAATTCAGTGTGTAAATAATGGCCTAACAATTAGTATGAAAAACGTCAGTCAGCATTTGACTGAATGATAACTTGTATTTGCTGACAAGGTCATTGTATCGACAATAGAACTTACGAAATGATGACTTTATACGAGCCTGCTGATATTCTTGTTTCATCAACTTGTTTGTCAATAATTTACCTCTTTTTAGAAATTGTACATACGGAGAGCATGCTCTTGCGTATCGAATCAACTGACCGTATGTAGGTGATGATTGATTGATTGGTTGTATGTTGTTTTACGTCCCATTCGAGAATTTTTCACTCATATAGAAACATCACCATATACCGGTGAAGGGCTTCAAATTTTGACCTTTACTCGGCACTCAGGGCCATTGAGCAGTGAGGGATCTTTATCGTGCCAAACGCCTGCCGTGACACGGGGCCTCGGTTTTTAAGGTCTCGTCCGAAGGACCCGCAACTTTCACTTCAAAGTGCCGAGCGCATGGCGAAGAAACAGTTGCTACCCATTTTATCGACTTGGGTCTGTCGCGGCCGAGATTCGAACTCACGACCTCCCGATCACGGAGCGAGCGCTCTACCGACTGAGCTACCGTGAACGGTTGTAGGTGATGAAGGTATATTGCTGCATAAGAAAAGGAAGTTGACGATTGAAAAGTTAGTCATCACGTTTATCATAAAGCTTGGTTGTTAGATTACCATTAAGTCTTTTTCAAGTAAAATATCCAAATATGAAACAGATGTGTCAGACTCTGTGGTATCTTTTATCTCAAGCTCACCGGGATATATCGTATCGACATAAGAATGGAAATAACCATATCCTCAGGGATATTTAAACACATGTCATATGTACAGTCTTCAGATACCCAGTTTTGGTATAAAACCAATAGTTCATACAAAAAATTGAAAGAATGTAAGGATTCTGTTACAGATATTTTTGAAGATTCCTTTTCCGATCATATGTCTTCTATTTCAAAATGTTCTGTGAAAAACTGTAAAACCTTTGACATTTCGATAACTAACACTTCTTTCACCAGTAATCTTACTGGAAAGAGCTTCTATACCAAAACTTGGGAAAACCTGAACTGCAAATCTTCTAATGTTGTCTACGGAATAGAATGTTATCTTTCTTGACTTGTTTATGATGGTGAAACCAAGGGATTACTTAATAAAAGAATATCAGGTCATAGATTTCAAATAAATTATGGGGGTCAGCAGCTTTTATACAAGCATTTTAATTTACCTGATCATTCTATTTTGTCAATGAAAGTTAGAATTCTAGAAAAGATTTACCATCACACAAATAGTCCATCATTGAGTACACCTTTCCGTAGACAACGATAAGAATTTTGGATTAGAAAACTAGGGACAGCCTTTCCCTAAGGATGTTATGACAATGTCGATAGTGTTGGAAAACTTTCCAGTCCACAGTGTAACAATGTAAATGTGATGGGACTTTTTAACCATAAACAGAGACGTTATCGTGGTCATGGGAATCGGTCTTACAATAAACCTTTAATACACGATGTCTCTTTTGATTCATTACTACCTTACGTAAATCAACAGTTAGGTCTACATCATATTCGCACAGGCACTTGGGGTCTGGACCCCCCCCCCTTTTCCATTTTTTTTTTCTTTTTAAATATGGAGTCGATTCACCTTTTTCCTATTTTTGTATTCTAATATGCACTATATGTTATCAATAATGTAACTCTTTTGTCTCTATATGCTGTTTTTAAATATACCGTTTTCGACTGATACATAAGAAGAGAGAAGGCTTGCAACTCTTTTCTCATCGTCTGCCTCACCTCGCTTAAACTTCGCCTGATTTTTTATCGAAAGAATAAGAAAACATGGAATATGCATACATCAATAAATTCGTTATACATTCTTCTTTCTTTTCAATTTTCCATTTAATTTTTATGTGCCCCCGATTTGTAAATATTTCGATTAAATCATCCGCATCTAGGGTAAATTTTGTTGATGTGCACCAGCTGGGACGGAAGTGCAATAACGGTAACTCTAACTTTATAAATGTTCTGCATTAAAAAAAATTCCAGGCTTTGTAATAACAATATTGTGGAATTTGGTTGTCTAGGTCGTCTATTTAAAGTATAATCTTCATCCATTAAAATTTGCTAGTTAAAGTTATCTTGTTATTCACAGAACTTACCGTTACATGTTATATGAAGAGAAAATTCGGGATGTATTCCTTCTCGCATTTAATGTTCCGAATTACATTACATGTAATGATGATACCCGAAAATACCGGGCACTTCCGTCCCAGCTGGTGCACATCAACAAAATTTACCCTAGATGCGGATGATTTAATCGAAATATTTACAAATCGGGGGCACATAAAAATTAAATGGAAAATTGAAAAGAAAGAAGAATGTATAACGAATTTATTGATGTATGCATATTCCATGTTTTCTTATTCTTTCGATAAAAAATCAGGCGAAGTTTAAGCGAGGTGAGGCAGACGATGAGAAAAGAGTTGCAAGCCTTCTCTCTTCTTATGTATCAGTCGAAAACGGTATATTTAAAAACAGCATATAGAGACAAAAGAGTTACATTATTGATAACATATA